TTCACTCAGCCTCTCTATGCTGGATTTTGGCTTTCAGATAGTCCTGGAGACACTGCTGAGTTGTGTGAGCTCAAGTAGACAGGAGTTTAAAGAGTGATTTATCTCTGTATAGTAAATGTTGAGGTGTGTTTGCACTGCACAGATCAAACAGAATGGGACTGTGATGTGTTTTGGGTTTTTTTCTTCGTTGGGGGTGGTTTAGTGGAGGGGGAGTATGTGGTTTTGTTTGTGTCAATTCAATGAAATGGTGAAATGAAGAAGAAATATTTTTTTCCACACAGGCATTAAAACAATTTTTTTGTTCAATTTTTTTCTTATTGGATTAGTATATTAAATTTACTAAATGTTGACATGATTATGGAAAATATTACATATATGCAAAATGTCTGCTGAAAACTATGTATTTTGTTCTACTTAAACTTGAACATAGTTATGACATAAAGTGGCTTAATTATGTACAAAAAAACTACAAAATTAATTAAAGAGTCATTGATATAAAAATGAATGAATGGTTTTGGATTTTTGAGCAAATAAATGTAACATACAGTTTTAAAATTACATATTTTTTGTCATACCATATCTCTATGAACATAACTTGCATAATTTAATGTTGGCTTATTGTTACTCTACATACTGTATATAGTAGTAGTGGTAGTAGTTGTAGTTGTAGTTGTAGTAGTAGGAGAAGTAGTAACAGTATATTATATTGGCAACACTGGTTCCCAGAGCAGGAATGTGTTGAAATGTCATTCTTAATATATAGACTGTGTATGTTGTATTTACTAAACATTTTCAACTGATATACAAAATGTCTGATGAAACACTTTTTTGTGTTTGTTTTTTTCTACCTTGATTTGGATTTTTGAGCATCTGCCAAATTAATGTCATATAAAGTTTAAAAACACATTATTTTAGTCACACCATGTCTTCATTTTCATAATTTGTATAATTCAATGTTTATTTCTTTTACTTGATGTCTATACTGCATACTGTGCTGCTGTTGTACTGATATTGAAAAATCTCTTTTTACTAAAAAGTACCAATCCAGAAAAATGGTATAATTTTAAAACCGACCTTCTGAAAACAAAGCTTGTTAACATCTTTTAAAGAGTGAATTTAAGTGTCTTTACATGATAACAATTTTTAGAAAATATGTATGGAAAATCAGTGGTCAAAATCATACATATAAATAGTTATCTTGTCAATATTTTAACAGATGACCCCTATTCTTTAAAAAAATGCATCTACACAATATATCTTTCTGTCACTGTTTGAGTATCACAGAAATCTGTTGTTTTCCTTCTAAAGTTAATTCCAATCAATCTTTTTCCAAGATAATCAAGTAAAAAAAAACACAGCAAGGTTAATGAAAACAAACATTTAACTTTCACTTTCTACCGATAGACCATGTGTTGATTTAATGTTGCTTATGGTGAGAATTAAAGAAGAAAAATCACTCATTCACATACTTGCGAGACGGGGATTTAACTCTCTTTTTAAAAAATGTATTCTGATCGCATATTTACTCCACATTTACATGATATACTGCACATAGAAGATTTATTGCATATATGCAAATTTTCTGCTGAAGAATGTGTTTTTGTTCAACTTAAAATTGCATTTGGTGATTTTATAAATGGGTGTAATATGTGAGAAAAAAAAGACAAGATGAATAAAAGAGTTGTGTAAAAATGGATTCATGAATGTAGATTTTTTTTGAGCATCTGCAAAATAAATGTAATATAAAGTTTAAAATAAATGTTCATTATAGTTAAACAATATATCTATGGACATAATTTGTATAATTTAATGCTGCCTAATGAGTGCTCTATATAATAGTAGTAGTAATCCGTTGGGAATAGTGGTTTCCAGAGTGGGTATTAATAACTGAGGTCGAAAGACACACTGCACCGCTCAAACCACTCCTCTTCCTGGAATGACACACACCTTTATGACTCCACCCAGACTTTATTTACTGGATAAGGGATGTTTCACCTGCTCAAAGTCATTCAGCTCAGACATTAGTTGTTCCCTCCCCTTTCACAGATCTGCCAGTTAGAAGATGGGTGTAAACACCATGTGATCAAATGTAAGAGCTGAAAGCCAATACACTGCAGATCAGTGAATAAACATCAGGGACATGAGCTGAGCTTTTATCTGGAAACAGAGAGTGAAACTAACTGACATTCACTGTCGTCTAGAGGAGAAATGGCGCAGCAGGTGATTCAGCTGGATCCAGAAAAACTGAGCTGTTTAATCTGTCTGGATCTTCTAAACGATCCGGTGACTATTCCCTGTGGACACAGCTACTGCATGAGCTGTATTGAACACTGCTGGGATGAGGAGAATGGGCAGCATGAAACATACAGCTGCCCTCAGTGCAGGCAGAGCTTCACACCGAGGCCTGTCATGATGAAAAGTACCATGTTAGCAGAGTTAGTGGAGGAACAGAAGAAAGTTGGACTTCATGCTGTTTCACCTGATCAGTCCTTTGCAGGACCTGAAGACGTGGCCTGTGATTTCTGCTCTGGGATAAAGGTAAAAGCCTTCAAGTCCTGTCTGGTGTGTATGGCCTCTTACTGTGAGCAACACCTGCAGCCTCACTACAATGTAGCTCCGTTNAGAAGCTGCAGCAGGAGATCACTGAGCTGCAGAGGAAAGACACTGAGCTGGAGAAGCTCTCACGCACAGAGGATCACCTGCATTTCCTCAACAACTACCCCTCACTCTCACGTCTGAGAAAGTCTAGAGACTTACCCAGCATGGTTAAGTCTCTGTGCTCTTTTAAGGATGTGACAGCAGCGGTGTCAGAGGCCAGAGATAAACTGCAGGCTCTTCTGAATGAGGAGTGGACAAAGATCTCACTGGCAGTGACTGAAGAGGATGTTTTACTGCCTCAAGCAGAGCCCAGAACCAGAGCTGAATATATGAAATATTCACATCAAATCACACTGGATCCAAATACAGCACACACACTTTTGTCACTGAGTGACAGTAACAGAAAAGCAACATTAACGGCAGGACGCAAGTTTGATTCGGTTAGATTTCTTGAAAGTTGGCAGGTCCTGAGTAGAGAGGGTCTGACTGAACGTTGTTACTGGGAGGTGAAGTGGAGCGGGAGAGTTTTCATAGCAGTTGCATACAAGGATATTAGCAGAACAGGGACTGTGTATGAATGTGGATTTGGATATAATGACAAGTCCTGGTCATTAGAATGTAACAGTGATAGTTATGAATTCAGGCATAACAACATTGTTACTTCCATCTCAGGCCCTCAGTCCTCCACAATAGGAGTGTATCTGGATCACAGGGCAGGTACTCTGTCTTACTACAGCGTCTCTGAAACCATGACTCTCCTCCACAGAGTCCAGACCAAGTTCACTCAGCCTCTCTATGCTGGATTTTGGCTTCCATATATTGCTGGAAGCACAGCTGAGTTGTGTGAGCTCAAGTAGACAGGAGTTTAAAGAGTGAGGGATCTGTGTTGCTGTATGGTAAATGTTAAGGTGTGTCTGCAGTGCAGAGATCAAACATAGTGGGTGAGACTGTGATGTGTCAATTCAATGAAATGGTGAAATGAAAAAGAAATCTTTTATGCTACATGTAGGGATATATAGGGATTAAAACTATCTCTTTTATTGATATTGTATTCTTAATATGCTTGTATGTTGTATTTCGTTATGTACTGTGCTTGGAAAATTTTGCATATGCAAAATGTCTGATAAAATCTATTTTTTGTGTATGGTTAAGTCTGTCTGGATTTGGGTTTATGGGCATGCCGAATGAATGTGATATAAAGTTTAATTTATTTATTTATTTTCTTTTACTTGTACCATATCTTCATTATTGCAATTTGTAAAATGTAATGTTTATTTTTTGTCTACACGGCCTACTGCTGTCTATGCTGCGTACTGTGCTGCTGTTGTACTGATATTATACAATAACATTACCCTTTTATTTCTTTTTAAAAGGCAGCAAAAAAGTTCTAGTACCAGAAAACTGGTAAAATTTTAAAAACGTAACCCTCTGACAATTAGCTTGCTTATTATCTTATTAATAGGGAATGCAAGTGTCTTTACATTGTAACAATTTAAAGGAAACATAGTCATGATTTTGCAAACTCACATTAGAAAGAACATGAAGAACTTGAATGTAACCTTGTGAAAGTCTTTTGCTAATCATTTTTGAAAGAGTGCATGACAACTATGAAAAGAATAAGTGAATGTTAAAATTTCTACAAATAAATGAATAGTTGATGTTTAAATATTTCACCCACAAACATCTTTTTTTTAAATGCACTTACAAAAGACTGTATTCTTCCTTTCACTGTTTGAGCATCGCTAAAATCATTTGTTTCCGACTTAAGTTCTTTCCAATACATTTTTTAAGACAATACAGTAAAAATAAATAAATAAACACAGGAAGATTACTGAAGACAATCAAATAAGCTCCACTTCTATCTACAGACAACATGTGTTGATTTAATGCTGCTGATGGTGAGACGAAAATAAATCACTTAGTCACTACGTGCTAGTTGGGGATCTAACTATGGTTTCTTAAAACTTGATTCTAAAGTTATATTTAGTGAACATGTTTTATACACTACCTTACATAAATTATTGCATTTACAATATAAAGTGAAAAATAACTTTTTTGTCCTACTTAATATCAAATTTAGTTAATATATAAATTGGCTTTATTATGTAAGAAACGCTACAAAATGAATAAAAGAGTAATGCATGTAAAAATGTTGGAATGGATTTCGACTTTTGAGCATCTGCAAAATAAATGTAATTTAGAATTTTAAAAAATAGTTCATTTTAGTTATATGATATATCCATTAACTTCACTGTGTATCATTGTTTACTTCTTAGTACCACATACCAGTAGTAATGAATGATAAAATAGTAGTAGTGATGGTATATTCTGTTGGGAACACTTGTCTCCAGAGCAAATATTCCATTTTTATTTTACAGTTAGGAGAAAGGCAGACATCTCTCCAGCTGCTCCTCTTCCTGGAATGACACAAAACTTTATGACTCCAACCAGAATTTATTTACTGGCTAGTCAGGCTCCTCCTGCTCAAAGTCATTCAGCTCAGACATTAGTTGTTCCCTCCCCTTTCACAGATCTGCCAGTTAGAAGATGGGTGTAAACACCATGTGATCAAATATAAGAGCTGAAAGCCAATACACTGCAGATCAGTGAATAAACATCAAGGAAATGAGCTGAGCTTTTATCTGGAAACAGAGAGTGAAACTAACTGACATTCACTGTCGTCTAGAGGAGAAATGGCACAGCAAGTGTTTTTGGATCGAGAAAAACTGAGCTGTTCAATCTGTCTGGATCTACTGAAGGATCCGGTGACTATTCCCTGTGGACACAGCTACTGCATGAGCTGTATTAAAGACTGCTGGGATGAGGAGAATGGGGAGAATGAAATATACAGCTGTCCTCAGTGTATGCAAAGCTTCATACCGAGGCCTGGCCTGGTGAAAAGTACCCTGTTAGCAGAGTTGGTGGAGGAACAGAAGAAAGTTGGACTTCATGCTGTTTCACCTGATCAGTCCTTTGCAGGACCTGAAGACGTGGCCTGTGATTTCTGCTCTGGGATAAAGGTAAAAGCCTTCAAGTCCTGTCTGGTGTGTATGGCCTCTTACTGTGAGCAACACCTACAGCCTCACTATAATGTAGCTCCGTTAAAGAAACACAAGCTGGTTGAAGCCACTTCAGAGCTGGAGGAGAACATCTGCTCTCGCCACGACGAGGTGATGAAGATCTTCTGCCGCACTGATCAGCAGTGTATCTGTTATCTCTGCCTCATGGATGATCATAAAGGCCATGACACAGTCTCTGCTGCAGCAGAGAGGGCTGAAAGACAGACGGAGCTCGGGGTAAGTAACCAAAGAATCCAACAGAGAGTCCAGGACAGAGAAAAAGATGTCAAGGTGCTTCAGCAGAGGGTGGAGACTATCAATCTCTCTGCTGATGAAGCTGTGAGGGACAGTGAGAAGATCTTCACTGATTTGATCTGTCTCATTGAGAAAAGGAGCTCTGAGGTGAAGCAGCAGATCAGATCCCAGCAGAAAACTCAAGTGAGTCGAGCTAAAGAGCTCGAGGAGAAGCTGCAGCAGGAGATCACTGAGCTGCAGAGGAAAGACACTGAGCTGGAGAAACTCTCACGCACAGAGGATCACCTGCATTTCCTCAACAACTACCCCTCACTGTCACATCTGAGTGGGTCTGAAGACTTACCCAGCATGGATACCAGTCCTCTGTGCTCTTTTAAGGATGTGACAGCAGCGGTGTCAGAGGCCAGAGATAAACTGCAGGCTGTTCTGAGTGAGGAGTGGACAAAGATCTCACTGGCAGTGACTGAAGTGGATGTTTTACTGCCTCAAGCAGAGCCCAGAACCAAAGCTGAATTTATGAGATATTCACATCAAATCACACTGGATCCAAATACAGCACACAGGCGTTTGTCACTGAGTGACAGAAACAGAAAAGTAAAATCAATGGCAGTAGAACAGTTCTTCTTGGATCACCCAGACAGATTTGATGAAAGGTGGCAGGTCCTGAGTGGAGAGGGTCTGACTGGACGTTGTTACTGGGAGGTGAAGTGGAGCGGGAATGTTTCTATAGCAGTTGCATACAAGGATATTAGCAGAACAGGGACTATGTATGAATGTAGATTTGGATATAAAAAAAAGTCATGGTCATTAAAATATAACAGTGATAGTTATAAATTCAGACATAACAACATTGTTACTTCCATCTCAGGCCCTCAGTCCTCCACAATAGGAGTGTATCTGGATCACAGGGCAGGTACTCTGTCTTACTACAGCGTCTCTGAAACCATGACTCTCCTCCACAGAGTCCAGACCACGTTCACTCAGCCTCTCTATGCTGGATTTTGGTTTACACAAAGTCCTGGAGGCACTGCTGAGTTGTGTGAGCTCAAGTAGACTGAGGGATTCATGTCTTTACAGTAAATGCTGAGGTGTGTCTGCACTGCAGACTGTGATGTGTGTTCTTGGACTTGTTTTGTATTGTTGTTTTGTTTGTGTCAATCAAATGAAATGGTGAAATGCAACAGAAATACTTTCCCCTTGATATAGGGGTTAAACAATCTTGATTGCTTCAATTCAAGTCTAATGTTATATTTACTCAACAATTTTTAATGCACTATGCATGGAAAATATTGCATATGCACAATGAATGCATTATAAAGTAAAAAAAAGAAGACTTTTAGGTTTAGTTTAGTTTGGTTATTTAAGCTGTAATTGTTTTCTCATTAGTACTTCACATACTGCTGTGTATATTGCATACGGTGCTGCTGTTGTACTGATACTGCAAAATCACATTACTTTTTTATTACTTTTTTTTTTTTCAATTCACCCAAAAAGCACTTGTACTAGAAAAGTGGTAAAGTTATAACTCTAACCTTCTGAAGAATACTTCACTAACATTTTAAGAAAACATACTGATATAGCAAGCTCACATTACTTCTTCTTTAATGTACCCAAACAGTACATTCAAAACTGGTTTAATTCTGAATGTAACCTTCAGAAAAATAGTTTACCAATCATCCTTTTAAGAATAAATTCACATGTATTTACAGGGAAACAATTTGTAGGTAATATTATAAAAAGTTAATGTTCAGAATCCCACAAAAAATAAATAAATAGTCAGTTTCTCTAAATGTAACATCAAATCTCTATTCTTTAAAAAACATCACATTCACAAAATGCTCTGTGTTCTTCCTTTCACTGTTTGAGTATCACAAAAATCATTCATTTCCTTCTAAATTTCTCTAATCAGTCAGTTTTTTTAAGATATTTTGGTAACAAACACACAGGCAGATTAATGAAGACAATCACTAAGCTCAACTTTACA